AAAAATAAAAAATATTTAGAAATATTTCTTTTGTTTGGAATAGCACAATTTTATTTTTTTTATATTTCTGTTAAATATTTCAATGTATGTCCACTTTATAGCCTTACAAATAATAAAGTATTATTTATAGAATAATAAAATAATAAATAACATGTATTTGTATTATTTAATAATAAACAATTTAGTTTTTATTATTCATAGTTATATGTAATTATATTTGAACTGAAGGTTTATGATGTTCTTGGAAAAGATCTGTTTCATATGTAGAGTGTGTATATTTTCTTATTTTGTCAACTATTATTTACACTGTCTCTGCATATTATGGTTTCACAATAATGACCTCCTGTAAAAGAGACTTGTTTCTGGATCTCACCTTGGTCAAATAAAGGTTATGAAGGTTAAACTGTCTGCGTTTGACATGCGTTTGTCCTCCGTCCTCTTTGACTGGAGTCGACTTCAGCCAGGTGTCTTCTAACGGACGGTTAATGTTTCACACTCGGGAGAGCTTGTGATGTCGGCAATGATGCGATGTGATGTAAGAATGATACACGACCTCATTTTCAGAGGCTGTCAATCAACCCGGGTATTTTTATAAAGGACAAATGAAGATCTCGGCAGAGGAACGTGACTGCAAACCTGAGCGCGGAGACACGACCCGTAATATCACGCTTCAGTGTGATAAACTGCCAGAATGCTGCTATTTATGAAACGTCCTTCAGTAGCCGGATGATCGGTGTTACCTGAGACGTTTCAGACTAATAATAAATATATAAATGCTCCAGGAGTGCACCTTCTCTCTCTTTGGTTGCTTTTTCTGTGGATAAATCAGTCATGATTAACGGTGATGGCTAAGATTGGGAAGTCGTGGCCTAATGGTTAGAGAGTCGGACTCGTAACCCAAAGGTTGCGGGTTCGAGTCTCGTACCGGCAGGGATTGTAGGTGGGGGGAGTGAATGTACAGCGCTCTCTCCCACCTTCAATACCATGACTGAGGTGCCCTTGAGCAAGGCACCGAACCCCCAACTGCTCCCCGGGCGCCGCAGCAAAAATGGCTGCCCACTGCTCCGGGTGTGTGTTCACTGTGTGTGTGTTCACTGCTGTGTGTGTGCACTTTGGATGGGTTAAATGCAGAGCACTAATTCCAAGTATGGGTCATCATACTTGGCCACATGTCACGTCACTCACTAAAAAAAAAAAAGATGTGATAACTATCTGTTGTCCCTTAATGGCCTCTAATTCTATTTGTCTTTTTCTCCTCAGCGATTCATCATTGCCTCTTGTTTTTCTCCCCCTTCCATTTGTATCCTCTTCCATTACACCTGAGTGAAAGGCACGTTAATGCCTTAATATGGTGTTTAGATAGTAGTACAAATTCTCTATTATGCACAGAAAGCCTCTTCCATCAGTTAATTTCACGCGGGGTCATCAAGGTTTGTTCATTAATATGTTCTATTCAAAATGTACAGACATAAGCTTTATCCAAAGCACCCAACAGCATAATCATTAACAAAACATTTGCTTTCTCAAACCACAGGCCTGGTCTGCCGGCTGAAGGGTAAAGAGAGAAACAGCAGGATGAAGGACTGGTAAGTTTGGACTTTATGAGCTGCACTCTTGAAAAAGCCTTATATTGCCATAGTAGAACAATAGAAGAACATTTAAATGCCATAAGAGAAGAGTTTTAAGTTCCTATGGCGCTACAGAAGAACGTTAACTTCCATGTGGTGTCTCAGAAGAACCAACAATTAATTAAATAAATAAATAAATAAAAACATTTTAGATTCTATATGAGCTCATATATAAAAGAGCCATAAAAGAACATTTTAGATTCCATTTGAAGGACCCTTTTTCATTCAGTTCCTATGATGTCATACCCTGATAGCACACATACACTGTAAAAAATGATTGTGATTTTAACATTAAAAGACTTTAAAAATGCTACAGTAAAAACCTGTTAACTGGTTAACAGTAAGTTTCCATACTATCTTCGGTGAATAAATGTAATTATATTTAATGTAATTTTACAGTAAAATACTGTCAAAAATACAGTTTTTTGAAGTGAAAAAGAAAAAGTCATTGTATAATTTACAGTGAAAAACCGTAAATTGACACTCCCAGAATTCCCTGCATGACACTTCATATTTGATGTATTTTTTGTTGAAATAGCATGTTTCTTCTTAGTTTTTTCTTATCAGTTGTGTACATTATGGTTTAATCTTACATCTAATGTTGTTAAATTAATGTTTATTGCATTATTTCAGTATCATGTGTGTCACCATGATGGGGTTTAGTGTTTGTGGGAATGACACTGTGCACCTTCTATATATAAATATTGCCCTCCTCAGCTCGTAGAAAAGCTGTTTGTAATGAGCTTTGATTCATCATGTGACTTTCTCATCATCACCTGTTTTTGGTGGTTAGTGCATTACAATGGTTCAAAACAGATATTAGTACTTCAATATGTTGGTTTATTAGCATTACATCAGTTAATGAAATACGGTATTTTATTGTGAATTTAAGTTAAGTCTGCAAGACGTATTTTTTAGAGAGTTTGCTCATCTGCAATACGTCTATAGGACGTTTCCTTTTAGATGTCAAATAGACATCTATTAGATGTCTTTAAGATGTTTATGATTTAGAATGTATGTAAAACTGACATCTGAAAGACATCTGTCAGATGTTTGTAGACAGCAGATGCTTTCCAGATCAAGAGATCTTTAACAGACATCTTGCAGACGTACGTGTGCTATCTGGGTATAAGAACATTTCTG